AGCTGTGAAAGGAGCATGATGCAAAAATATGTGTACATCAATCCCATTGCAAAACTCACCAGAAAATGATGCTGCTTTGATGTTTGCTCTCTCAATTCCAGATTGTTGACCAGGTTTTTCCTTCACTTTGATGCGCAAAGAAATCTTGTTGACTTTCAGCACCATAGCTGGACAAAGCAGCATTGAGGAGATCAAGGCAACCAACTCTATATGCAAATAAACCAAGGAATCCACTGAGGAGTTGTTCTGTGTTGCACATCTCACAATGTAGTGAACACAGGTTGATGTGGCTCAGGTCTCCCTCCAAAAGAAGCACCAAATCATCCCTTAGGCCCTTTGGCCTTAGAACAATGGAAACAAAGAACACAATAAACACCATGCAAACAGTATCTATCATTTTTTGCAATATATAATGCAGCATAAAATACATGGTCAAAATATTTTCTCCATGTCCCACATGTCACCTAAAACTTCACAAAATATCCTCTCAGTATAACACAGGAAACTAAAATGCACACGGTAAAATTTGACAATCACCCTCACTATCAAAAATATTTAAAAAAATAATGTATTTACTCAGCATAGACCTCAGAACACAAAGTACAGTAAAATGCAGTTTGTAAAAATTTTTTACTTTTTTTTACCATGACTCAAAGAAACAGATTTCCTTCATATACAATGTCATAACTAATTTTTCATTTCACCCTTTAGCTTATGTTAGCCTTTGACTTCAAACTCTCAATGCAGGTTTCATCTGCATCAGCCCCATGATGGATGCATGCCTGTAATAAACATAATTCAGTAATTCAAAATTCCTGCCTTTTAGTTGGTTTAGCACTAGATTATTTATGAGAGCTTTGAATTTTCAACCTACCCTTATAGCATCACAGACAAAACAGAATTCCACTAACAACCCTCGTCCACCAAGTACAAACTCTTCATTGTTGATTTTAACAAGCAGGAGTAACAGCACCTTGTAGTCAATAGTGACTAAAAATATAAAAAATTTAAAAAAGAAATTTGAAAACTAATTACCATTTTAATAAGGGTATCTAGTACACTTAAAAAGGAATCGGTTACTTGACCTTAAACCTCGGCTTACCTGTAAATCTGATATTGTATTTCTTCCCATCCACTTTCATCCCTTTTTCCTTTATTGTGGCCTTCTGTACATTCAGATTATTTATGAGAGATCTCAGACTCTGTCTGGAACAGAAAAAACATGTAAAAGACATAGAAACTCTAACTACTTAGCCTAGATTAGACAATATTCCTATTCCTAGTGACCTTAGGACAAGACTTCTGTGCATGGAATACATGATTCTAAATTGCAGGTAGAAATCTTTTTTTTTGTCAATATTAAGGATAGGCAAACATCAAGTTATCCCCACATTTAGCCTTGCATTCACACTGAGAAGTCTCTTGTCTGACTGCAGGTGTCAAGGAAAATGAATATTGTTTATTACATTGTACAAACGGGTCATATCAAACACCCTCCTACCATCCAGGAGACAATTTTTCAGCCACTCTGAAAGGAGCTGTAAATTCAAAAGTAGACATTACATCTATAGACAACTTTGTAGGGGGTAGAGATTTAAGAGTCAATCATCATATATCATTGAAGATTAAGTGGCCAAGCTCTTGCTCCATGAACTCACCTCTGTTCCTTGCAATTGGCAATTGCAATAGGAAAGACTGATAGGGCACTTTCTGAGCTTTTACCCTTAAAGCCAATAGGTACAATTCCTACGGCAACCTGGTTCCTTCATGAAAAAAAAAACAAAAAACAAAACAATGGCACACCCACAATACAATCATACTATACAGGACATATAATAGGATGCAGTGGTACAGATCCACATAATTCTCCAGTATCTGCATCTTATAGATAATTTACTCCCATAAATTAAAGGAGGTAACAGCTGCTGCATAGACTGTAAGAATGAGACATTCAGCTCACTACCCAGAGGACAACTATCAATCTTTATGTTGAACTCCATGTCTTCTTGGTCAGAACCATGCAGTCGTTGTGCTCTGATTGCCCAAGTAAGGACCATGGAGAGATCAACAGCATATGCATCAAAATTTGTGTCAAGGTGCTTCACATTATAGATTTCCTTAGTCACCTTGAAAACCAGTGCTTTGATGGCCTTGATTTGGTTTTTAGAAACAAGAAGAGGTGTATCACTGTTTTGCTAAAATTAAAAATGACAAAAATGATAAGTACAGCAGAATTAGTCCTTCTTCTGTTTGCTTTAAGTAGTAATCTAATTTTGCTATTTTTCTCAATTTATGTCTCCATTTTAGAGGGAAAAGAGGTTTACCATAACAAAGCAATATCACCATATTTCAAAAGAAGTCAGTAGTCCACAGTAAACTGGAGACCTCAGCAAGGACCCATATCTGAGTGTCATAAAAGCAAGGGCAGTTATTGATAGCTGGCCAATTGCAAGAACACACGAAATTCCCAGTTTTTATTAGACAGTTCTCACTTAGCCAATCAAAAAAGAATTATAAGTATCTGAATTGAACCTGACTACTAAATATGTAAAAACTATTTATTCCAAGCCTGCAACTTCTTTTGTCAGATATCACAAAGTTCAGCAAATGCCAAACAAAACATTTTGAAAAATTATTTGAAAACTAATCTATCAGACAACAAAATCTCACTTACCCTACTTTTTCCCAAATGTGTGACATTAAGGAGGGTCTGCCATGCAGCATCTGGGGTTCTTGTGAGCAGCTTCAAATACAGGAGTGTCCAGTCTGGAACTCTCATGCCACTAATCAGCTCTTCCTGCACTTCTTCTGTTAGCAATGCTCTAAGAGTATTCTGGGTTCCTTTAACCTTAATTACATGACGAACCATCTCTGAAATGGTGTTTTAACTCACTTTTTCTCACCTTCAAAGCCATGGGTGAGTGTATGACCAAACAGTGAAGAAATTGATTCATTCATGTTTTCACAGAGTGCACTGACCACAGATGATATGGTCCTAAATATTTCCTGGATGAGTTTTTTCTTCTTTATAGGCCCCAAGGGACTAACATTAAGTTCTTCAATACTACTTGGGGATCTACTAAATTCTGTACTTGAGCCAGAGGTATGTGAGCTAGGGAAAGATCCTGCCGAAAAGCTTGTGCTATTACAGCTTCCACTACTTGGGGAAAAGCTTGGGCTAGTAAACGATATGGGTGATGATGGTGCAGAGCTTGTACATTTCAATTTTTCCAGTTCGAGCTCAAGACTTTCAATTTTTGTATTCAAATTTTGTATGGTCTGCTCTTCATTGCTTTTGGCGCCAATTCGAGAGGGAACACAAACACCATTCACGTAGCTCTTTATCCTGGCAAAAAATTCAGATAAAACGAGTCTTTCGGGAATTTCTCGCTGCCGCAAAAGGCCGACAAAAAGTCCAAATGAACTCACAACATACACTTAGCCTGGTTGTCTTTAAAGAGTCTCCCCTTTCTCTGGGACCCACTCATCGAACGGCCTCGACCCGCCATTGCTGCTCATTACACACAATTCCCACTTTGATACGGAGAAGATTTCGTCTGGAAAACGGCTGAAAAAGATATTCTGAGAAAAGAATCGTGGAATAATTCCACATGATTCCTTTGTGACTGTATACCAGTTCTTCTGATGATCGAGGCAGGGCGCAAACACTTGAGTAACTAGCCACGAGAGAGTCGGCTGAGGAGCGGGAGATTTTCCCTCCATCGCGTTTCGGTGCCAAAGCAGTACTTAGTTCACTTGAATTTCAAATTTTCCCCTCATTTCTGATATTAACTATTCCTGGGTAATTATAACTCTAAATTTCTCGTTTTGTACATTTGTGCTTGTTGAGCCCAATGGCGCGCCACACAAACATGTGTTTTAAGAGTCTGGGAACAAGTAACTTGCGTAATAGGTATGGTTGTGTGACAAGCGTGACTACCCGATAATCTTCGTATCTTTTCGCGTTTCGACTAAATGGGCCTCTCCTGATCGTTTATGACACGGAAAAACGAGATTTAGACAAGCTACATTCAGGGATAATTTGTATTTGGTTCTTAGGCCGACCACACAAGGACAATCTGCTATGTGCACGGCCTGTTACGTGCCACAGAACCTGATGCTTGCGTGAATTGTGATGATAGCGTGCTACCGCGGGAAAAGAGAAAGGTTGACATCTCCTAAATGGCAACTGAAAAATATCAGTCTTGTGGTATAATCCTTGATACTGCTTCAAAACTCACGCCCGTAAACTTCACGGTCAACGCTCCAAAATATAAAACACTTCTCTTAAATTGTTTTTTGAATCACCGAAAATGGCGGCAAGCTTAATTTTTACACTCTTTCAGTATTTGGTTCGCATCGATTTAAAAACATCTCGCTAATTACGAGTGATATCACCCTCTCTAATAAAGAAACTTTAAAAAGCGCATAGTGAAGTGTTCAGAGGGTAGATTTCCAATAAGTGCGATGTTTCAGCTGGAGTTAAACTTTGTTTAATACTGACAAGAAAAACACGGCAGAGAATATTTTTTTAATTCCTTTTTTTCATTGTTTTACTTCATTTTGCAAAGTCCGCAAATGTTGTAAACTATCCCATTGCAAGATCTACCGTGGGTTATTATTTCATGAAACGTGCTAATTGATATTTTGTATATCAAACGTGTGAATTGATTTTATCCAACAAAAGTAAATAAAGCCATAAGTATAACTGACAGGAGTTAACGCCTCGAGTAGATGGTGGGGGGCCGAATTCTTTTGGTGATCAAAGCTCGTCCAACATGATCTCGAAACCGAAATAACGATTATCGTTACTTCTTAATTGGCCCTGAAATAATGAATAGCATTATTTCATGGCATGTGTGAGACCTTCGGGCTCGAAGCTTGGGAACTAGTATCTTGGGAAAGATAAAATGGCGGCGTACGGCGGCGAAGGAAATCTCAGTAGTTTAATATGTTAGCGTGAAAAGGCTCGGGTGTTGTGATCTGGTTCTCAAGTAAAAAAAAAAATCACTATCTGCAATGGCTCTACCACCTTTTGAACAACAAGAAAACATTGAAACGGTGGTAAAAAAGCAGCAAGTTTCGAAGTCTAAACGAAAGATGGGTAAGCTGAGTTTCATTCAAATATCATGACATTTGGGATGTAATTTCGACTAAAAATAAATAGATTTACATGGTTATATACGCAGAGGATTCTGTTGTGTTCACGTGAAGGCCATTTCAGCTATTCCTGCCACTTGTAAGATGTAGGAAATAAAAATATGCATACTTGTTTCGTATTGAAGCCCTGTGAAATCACAAATATGATTTATTTCTTCTTTGTTTTAGGTGGTCATTATCCATTATTTTTGGAAGTCGATGCTGATGAGAAAGAAAAAATGTTTACGGTTAATTCCTCTCTCGAACATTTTACTATTTAGGTACCAAATAATCTTGATACTGAAGATCATTGCATCCTATTATGAAAAATTTACCCCTGATTGCTTTGTCAACATGTATGATGTAATACAGCTTGTGATTTGTGGGATTTTCACATGTAAACTAGAACTACCTGAAGAGGGTAATGATGTACTTAATGCAAAGCGTTTTGGTACAAAGTCTGCTTTGCTCTAATCTACCTGAAGGTGCTTTTTATATGCTAGTAACACTTGCACAGCCCAGTCAAAATGTTTTTTAGAAGTAGACAAGCAGGCTGTAGTAATTATAGGCAGCAGAGGCCAAACCTCTTCCTGGAAAGCAGTCTGATAGGTGTGAAGTCAGCGGAAGGTACTTCATTGTAGGTGGCCAAATTACAGGCTGTCAGCCCATTTTGAGTAAGTAGTTAACTTGAAGATTAGCTATTTTAACTAATTTTATTGAGAGCTAAATCCTGCAAGGCTTATATTCTGTATTAGTTTGAAGTGTTACTTTTATGTTTCTTATTTTGCAGTAAGTTGGCTTTTTATGGCCATTTTTCTCTCAAACATTTTTTTCAGCCTAGTCAAAATGTTTTTGAGAAGTAGGCAAGCTGGCTATAGTAATAGGAGTTAGAGGCCAATCCTCATCCATACTTGACACCTAACAGATATTTTGTTGTAGACCGCCAAATCCCTGGTTTGCGGCACATTTTGACTGAGCTATTTGTTATTTAGCTACAAAGTAATCTTATTATTAAAGATTACTACATTCCTTTTTAATAATTTGCTGCTGATTGTATGCTGTATATAGCTTATGATTTGTGTGATTTTCACAAGTAGATTAGAAATACCTGAAGATGGTAATGATGTACTAGATGATGTACTTGATGCAAAGCTATTTTGGCACAAAGTCTATTCCTTGTCCATAGGTGATTTTAACATGCTAATAAGACTTGTAATTCAAATAATATACATCAGCTGGAATAGGAATGTTAAAAGAAAAATAATAATAGTAAACTATACCAAGTTTCAGTTTTATGTCCAAATGAAGCACTTAATTGAAGATCACTGCACTGATCAGGCCCAGAAGGCCGGAAGAGTGCTGTCTGCTGTTAGTTTAATTTTTGTCATTTCTATTTATTTATTTTATTTATCAATGTTTCATTGAGTTATAATACATTGATCTCTTTCAATAGTGCAGGTTTGCTCATGTAACCTAATCCCACATGTATGTATGTACAATCTGGCAATAGTAATAGGCAGCAGAGGCCAAATCTTACCCTGAATAGAAGTCTGACATGTGTGAAGTCGGCAGGTATTTCATTGTAGGTGGCCAAATTGTCAGCTGCAGCACATTTTGACCTGGCTGATTGTGTGTGTTATGTATGTGCACTTCTTTCTAGGTGTTAAACAGGTCAAAGTACCAAAAAAACCTCTCTGATAGCTTGGCAATCCAAGATGTAAAAATTTTTAATAATAAGGTAAAGCTTGATCATTCTTAAGAGTTTGCATCTGTTCTAAAAGTTTTGGGGAGTGTCAGGGGAGCAATATTTATGCAAATGTATTTAAAAGTAACAAAAAATAAAAATAAAAAAGAACTTGGGAAAAATCCCAATTTGCTTTAAAAGTTTATTTTATTAAGAGCATAACCCTGGATATAGCTTGAGAATTGTGTGATTTTCACAAATTGTTAGGTTGTTATGTAAATTTAATTTACAGGAACCTTGTTAATTTTCAGCTTCAAGAAAAAGTACATAACTGCAGGAAAAGCTTGAAGCTTGAAAAATTGATTTATGAAACTGGGACAGATGTCATGAGATTTGTACAACAGGCTGGCCTGGGAAGGACCAAGAATAAAAGAATTCATTGATTCTCTTACAACTTTTGTCTCCATTGTGTGCTTCTGTAGAGCTTAGTTATTGCTGTAGAAAACTTTTTCGAAGGGCCCCTGAGATCACTCACTTTTGAGCTAGTTGCCCCTAAGGAAGAGGATACCTGTGCTTACTATCTCCCTTAGGGGGGTAAAGGGTTAAAGACTGATTCTTCTCCGGTAGATAGGAGATAGAAATTCTCCCTTATTGCCTCTTAAATCAGTTGAGAGAACTTGGCGTTCTATCGATTGAACACTTTGTCTGAAAAGCTTGTCTTTTTCCATATCTGTTTACTGGATATTATAAATGCATTGATATTGTAATGCATGAGAAATTACAAGTTTATTTTCAAGAATTGAAGCGAATGCATATGATAAATATAAAAAAATATTGTTCATGATATTCGAGTCGCTGCAGCACTAAAGAGGAAAAGCTTTCAGGCTGACAGATCGTTAATCGCATAAAGCTTTATGTAAAACGACGCAATAACACGTGATGCAGGCAGTGTGTAAACATAGGCATGCAACGCATGCAAGCGGTTTGTTTTGATGGCGGGTTAAGATGGGCCACTAAATAACCTTTTTTTGCATTTTTGCACAAGAAAAAAATAATTACATTTCAAAAGATTGCAACGAAAATATCGTTTAATGGAGAGCGAAAAAAAGCCCTTTCAATCCATTCCAAATAAACTCAGGCATAGGTCTTTTGCGGTCTATTGTCTTTGTTGTCTAAATAATTGTAAGCAAAAATAAACTGCATTGGTGCAATACTCACTGTTGTCTCTTTCAGAGCCATTGTTTGGTCTCGTCACGCAACACTCTCTCTCTCCTCCCGTTGCGTGACGAGAGCGAACAAAGGCTACGAGGGAGGATACGCTAGCATGCAAGACCTCATTATTGGCATTTGCTCACGAGCGCTTCTACGCCCACGCGAACGTATGAGTTCTTCAGGAATATGAGCCAACGAGAGGTCTTTCTGGGCTTTGGTGCTGATAATTAGTGTCAGATTCCCCGCAAACCTCTCCCCGACTTGTCTTACAATGAATACTCAATCTCGGCCCCTCAGGGGTGGGCTGAGATTCACCACGCGCTTGTAACCTTAAAGTAGATACATGCTGCTGATTCTAATTCTAAATTTGGCTGCTTCACTATACAAAGCAATTAAGCGTTCAGAGTTAGAGTCGAGGTAAGTACGATATTTAATTGTTAATGTGCTGATGTATTGATGCGACCTTTCATCAATTTTCCAATTCACATTTCAGTGCCTTTATAATCAGAGCTACTCTTACATAGACCATTATTATATTGATTAATATTCTTACACAACATGAATTGCCGTAGAAAGACGTCGTTCTTAATAAATTCTACCTTTTTTCGTTCAAAATGTCTTTGTATCCCTTGGATAAAGAATATCCAACGCATTAACATCGGTACTTCTGCCGTGTTGAGTCAAATTCGTTTCATTCATACCTTTCCTTCAGCTGGATAACAATCAAACCGCTTGGGTAAATTTCATCAAATAGACATGCCCAATTTGTGCCCTTAACGTCATGAGAAGTTTACAAATGCTAACATGATTTACACGTTATGTTTTACGCGGGGAGTCAGTTATCTACGGCAAAATAAGTCTTAAGATTCAGAAAGATGGTAACCGTTTTTAGTGTTCCCAATGTAAACAATGGGTGAAAAACAGCCATAAAATCTCCGTTTGGATCTGCTCGTCTAATATTGTTTCCTTGGCCGTCCTATGCAGTGTGACAGTGACAGTTGTAACGCAGTTGTAACAAATCGCACAGTATAACCAAATTTCAAATTAATTCGAGGCGGGGAAATCCAGTCTGTTTGATAATTTAACCCTGTGTGCTTAATTTATGGAGAGGATGATGAGCGATTGATTTTCAGGTTCCTGAACGGCCTTTTTTTTTGTTCTGTACAAATCGAGCTCAATCTTTATACTTGGTAACCGTTTTTCCCTCTTCGGTTCATAAATTTTTTATTCACCCATTTTACTTCTATTTTACAGAAGCTTTCACGTCTTTCTTACAATATATAGCTATTTGCATTTATCTTTGTTTTGCAGGGGAAGTCGTATTTCGGTTTCTTGCTTTTGGTTTCATCAGTCATACGACTAGAATATCAAACAAGGCAAGCTTCTTGCGTAAAAGGTTAGTAAATTTATAAACAATCTTTCCCGCTTTAAAAAACTGAAATGTTTTGCACTGGACATTCAAAGCCAGAGAATTTAACCACCTGAGTAAAGGTCAATAAAGGCAATCGATGGCAATCTTGACTCGTCCCACAAGATTTTTAGAACCTCTTTTATATTGTCTTGCATACTTTCGCTACACGTTTACCTCCCTTGAAATTAACATTGATTTAGTTACATTTTAGAACGGTAAACCTACAATGGCTCAAACAAAACACCCCGCGAATTGCTATTTTCCTACATTCAAATCCTCAAAGTGTAATTATGAATAAATTTACCTGTCACGCAACAACATTCACACAAGCGGCCGAGTCAATTGTTACGCTACAAAATTTTGGTAAGTTGTTGCAGAAACAGTAGAACCAAATTGAAACACGAATGCTGATTGCACGGAGGTAAACTGCAAAATGCAGGAGGTGATGTGAATAAATAACAAATATTTGGTAACAAAGAGGACGTTAACATGACAGAAATGAAAGCGCCACAGACCTTAACACCGATAAAACTAATCCGCATTGGTAACAAACATTTTCCCCGTTTAATTTAAACAACACAGAATCGAGGGCACAACAAAATAATAATATTCATTCGCTCTTCCTTGATACGGCCATGTAAATTTTAAACCGAGTTTCTACTTCATTGTTGAAGCGAGAGTTGATGTTCTGCGGCTCTTACCTTTTTTTACTAACAACCGCCGCTAGAGATGCTGCAGTTTAGAGGAAATTAATGTTATTGTTCTGAAAATTGACAAGACCGTTGGTGTATTTGCGTAAATAACTTATATTTTTGGAATTATTAGTACCTCAACATGAATCTGGGCCACGCCCATGAAACACGATTTGGTACCTTTTAGGGGTGTTTTCGAAATTCTCCGACGAGCACCCCTGTCATTCTTATATGGGAGTCCCACCTGAGTTCAT